GTAAAATAGGAGGAAGGAAGGTAAGGAAGCAGAATTAGATGAAACAGAAAAAAATATTAAATAGAGAAATGTGCTATACAAAAAAGTGAGAGAGAGATATAATACAGAAATTCCCCTTCAAAAATTCCCATGATTTTTAACATCTCCTCAAGCAAGTTGGCAAAAGTACATGTATAAATCTGTAGATTTAGATTTTTCATCTCAAAATATATAAATCATTAAACATTCAAAGAAACATACAACTGACATAAAATAAACAAATATAAAACACCCAAGACATTTTTTTTATTGGCTACTTACACTGAGCCCAACAATCTTGTTGTTCTTAAAAAGATGTGCAATGCCACCGGTGAGTGCCTTCACTGCCTTCTCTTTGGCTCCCATCAGCTTGTCCAAGTTAAGCCTTACATTGTCAACCTGTAGTGAAAGAGGATTTCTTTTTTTTTTTAATGCTGTCAAAGCACAGGAATCAAAAGACACAGAATTTGCAATAGAAAAAGTAGAAAATAAAGAACTGGTAGGTGGAGACAGAAGAGCAGGGAAAAGAAAAACAATCTGATGACACAGAAAAACAAGAAGAAATAGATGAAAAATAAAAATAATGAACAAAACATTCTGAAAATACTGCACAAATGCACAAACCTCAATGCCTCGGGCAGCAAAATCCTTTGATTTGGCCATATGATAGTAATGGGAATTGTTGAGCAGTGACTTGGAGGGGATGCAGCCCACATTTAGGCAGGTGCCACCATATGTTGCATTCTTCTCCACGCATACAGTCTGGGAATGATAAGACAATAGGTTTCATTATAAGCTAACCATTTGTTACATTTATCCAAAAGGATCATTTTGTGTTTTTCTAGCCTTAATGAAAGAAATGAAGACATTCTTCTCTAGTTTTAACGAGAGACCTGGAGACTTCTGTCTTCTTTTTTTAAAGAGAGAACTGAAGACCAAATGATAACACCAAACATATACTCAATTAATATTGTGCTTTTCTGTTATCCAGTACTTTTATAAATACTTTTTATGATGCTTTTATGCATCACAAGAATAGTTTATAAAAGGATCTGAGATGTTTATATACTTCTTATCTTACTACTGGCATCCTTATTGCTATTATTCTATCAATATGAATCTTAACCATAATAGAAGTTACAGTATGATCTCATTCATATCATAATAAGACATTTTTTATGAAAGAAAGGCAACAATCACTGACCTTCATGCCCAGCTGGGCAGCCTTGATGGCAGCCACATAGCCCCCTGGTCCTGACCCAATGACCACCAGGTCAGCTTCATGGGATGCATGGCGACGTTGTCCCACAGTGGAGAGGCCCACAGATGCACCTGGACACCTGGCCAAGGGCACCTACAAAGGAAGGAGAATATGGGGATAAAGGGGGCATAACTAAGAAAGAGACACAGTCATAAACAAAAATACACATACTATCTACAGTAATGATAATAAATGATGATCATGGATAATGACTTATGATGACTGATAATCATGATGGTGGTTGTGGTAATGATGATAATGATGGTGGTGGTGGTGATGGTCGTATTGATGGTAATGATAGTGGTGATGGTGACAATAATCGTGGTGGCGGCAGCAATGATGGCAAAGGTGATGATGGTGATAAAAGTGATGATAATGATGATGGTGATTGAGGTTAAGGGGATAATGACAATAATGATGGCAACAACAATGATGATATCATTATCGATGATGATGATGTCGATGTCGATGACAATGACGATGATGATGGCAATGATGATAATAATGATGATAATAATGATGATAATAATGATAATAATCATGATAATCATAATCATAATCATAATAGTAGTACTGATAATATAACAGAAATAATAATAATAGTAAAACAAATAACAGTATTAAATCTTTGCATGCCCCTGTAGTATCCATATTACAGAACCTTTTGGCTGGAAAACTGACCATGTAGTATTTAAAGTACAAAAACTATCAACCCTTTTTTGGCTTTGGTCAATACTTTGTGTTTTGTACAATAGTAAAGCAACATGGCCTGTGTTAATAATAATTATGTGGGACAAGTGTTGATCCTTAGCTTATTACACTGCTGTTAATTTACACAAAGAGTAGTTCAGATTTGGTTAATTTGTCAAAGCCTTATACTGTCTACCAATGAAAGACACACTCTCAAAAACTAAAATTATACCAATGATTCTTATTCACTTAACAATAAATTAGGAAATTTTGAGTGACATTTGGCATATCACTGTCAGGAAGTTGTCAATTGCCAATACAGAGAAAAATTATTGCTCAATTGATTTGCAGCATACATCCACAGCCAATTAATATTGAAACAATTCACTCAATACAAGCATATGCACAATTTATATAACAATTTAGCACAATATGTCTGACTTAGGCTTTAGGGATCTTTTTTTTTTTTTTTTTTTTTTTTTTTTTTTTTTTTTTTTTTTTATATATATATATATATATATATATATATATATATATATAACTCATGGAGATTATCCAAGTATATAAGGTAGTATACCTGAAAGCACACAGGAAGAATGTGTAAACTCCGTCTTTTGCAGAGTTTAAGTAAAGACAACATCAATCTCCTGTAAGTTACAAAATTTCATCACAAACTCCCTTTCCTTTCATGGTATAGTTTCAGTTTTAAACAGCCAAATGAAACAAGGTAAACTTTGCCTTTAATGGACAGAACAATAAAATTTAAGGAATTTTCAACTATGACATTTCCTTTGCGAGTTGATAATAAGAAAGTTATGTAACAAATAAGTAACACTATGGCATATTTACATAATGACAGAAAATAATCAGCACAGAGAATACAAAGAATGAAGAAAATAGGCCATGACAAAGGCCTAGGTCACTGGCAATCGGGGAGGTCTCTGGAGGTGGAGACACCGGTAGAGAAACGTACCAATTGGGCAGGGCATCCCCAAGTTAGGAGGATTTCCGGGTAATTCTTTACAATACGGACACACCCTCTAGAGACTAAGTCCCCAATTCCACATTACAAATTTCATTCAACAATCTAAAATGCCTTGACTGGGCTTGCCCTTTGGGCACTGTCCAAGGGGAGGATTGATAGGCGGCTTTGCCCCCATTTACCCCGGCATATATTGTCTTCACCTCAGTATGCACGGCAAGATAGAGCTGATACTTTGGAGCACCGAATGGATTTAGACTGTGAAGGTATTATCATTTGTATCTGGAAATTTTTTTGTACCAACAACTACAAATTTCTGACCACTACAAGAATCTTGGTAATTCTTTACAGTACGGACATAACTCCACGTCACAAAATTGATTGAACAATCAAAGTTGCCATGACTGGGTGGGCCCAAGTGGAGGGTTCATGCGGGAGCTCTGCCCACCAACACCACCTGGGAAACACTGCCTTCATCTTGGTATGCATGGCAAGATAGAGCTGAAATTCATGGGCGCCAAGTGGACGTAGGCTGTGAGCAGTGTTTTCCATGATCTTTTTCCCTTATTTGTAGCATTACTGTTCATGTCTGTATTCCTTGCCAGGGTATATATATATATATATATATATATATATATATATATATATATATATATATATATATATATATATATATATATATATATATATATATATATATATATATATATATATATATATATATATATATATATATATATATATATATATATATATATATATATATATATATATATATATATATATATATATATATATATATATATATATATATATATATATATATATATATATATATATATATATATATATATATATATATATATATATATATATATATATATATATATATATATATATATATATATATATATATATATATATATATATATATATATATATATATATATATATATATATATATATATATATATATATATATATATATATATATATATATATATATATATATATATATATATATATATATATATATATATATATATATATATATATATATATATATATATATATATATATATATATATATATATATATATATATATATATATATATATATATATATATATATATATATATATATATATATATATATATATATATATATATATATATATATATATATATATATATATATATATATATATATATATATATATATATATATATATATATATATATATATATATATATATATATATATATATATATATATATATATATATATATATATATATATATATATATATATATATATATATATATATATATATATATATATATATATATATATATATATATATATATATATATATATATATATATATATATATATATATATATATATATATATATATATATATATATATATATATATATATATATATATATATATATATATATATATATATATATATATATATATATATATATATATATATATATATATATATATATATATATATATATATATATATATATATATATATATATATATATATATATATATATATATATATATATATATATATATATATATATATATATATATATATATATATATATATATATATATATATATATATATATATATATATATATATATATATATATATATATATATATATATATATATATATATATATATATATATATATATATATATATATATATATATATATATATATATATATATATATATATATATATATATATATATATATATATATATATATATATATATATATATATATATATATATATATATATATATATATATATATATATATATATATATATATATATATATATATATATATATATATATATATATATATATATATATATATATATATATATATATATATATATATATATATATATATATATATATATATATATATATATATATATATATATATATATATATATATATATATATATATATATATATATATATATATATATATATATATATATATATATATATATATATATATATATATATATATATATATATATATATATATATATATATATATATATATATATATATATATATATATATATATATATATATATATATATATATATATATATATATATATATATATATATATATATATATATATATATATATATATATATATATATATATATATATATATATATATATATATATATATATATATATATATATATATATATATATATATATATATATATATATATATATATATATATATATATATATATATATATATATATATATATATATATATATATATATATATATATATATATATATATATATATATATATATATATATATATATATATATATATATATATATATATATATATATATATATATATATATATATATATATATATATATATATATATATATATATATATATATATATATATATATATATATATATATATATATATATATATATATATATATATATATATATATATATATATATATATATATATATATATATATATATATATAAAACTATGCCGGAGGTACGCCAATAGCTCATCAAGTGTACGCCAACGTTCCCAATGAGAGTAATTTTTCATAAAGTATGATGCCAAGTTATAGCCATGGAAGTGATAAAAAACAGCCGCAAGGAGTGTAGGGGGGGGGGGGGGGATTCCTTGTGCCGGTAACTACAACTTTTGTCGTCCACAGGAATATCATCTTCAATTTGCCCAAATTTAATGCATTCAAACTGTTAAGATTATCTTCAATTTGCCCTAGCTTAGTGCGACCATACTGTAAAGATTAACTAATTTTAGTTCCTATGCCAATGTTTGTCAATTTCCAGGAGTGCCCCCGAAGTTGTTGGCTGGAGTTGGGACTTAGTCGCAGAGAGGTGCAGTTATTTCGTATACATAAATCTTTCCCTTATTTCCTAAATAGGTTATTTGTGAGGAAAAACAATCACATATATAACTACATGAATAATCATAACAAAAAAATAATAATTACAAGCTTGGATGGCTGTATGAAATAAATCTCCATGACAGTAAGATTGCAAATTCTGTATAAAATTATTAAACTAGAATGTGCTAATATAATAAGCCCATAAAACTACTTTTGTAATTAATGAACTGTAGTGAATAATAAAGAAACTCATACCAATCTCCATCTTTTATCTATTCTTTACCAATAACTAAGCCAACGGAGACAGTAGTTGCTGTTGTTGAACCTCCAAGACTAACCCAAAAATCTATGAAAGCACTTTAAACTATATTACACAAACAAACCTATAAATACAATGTTACATACTACATGAAACAAACTAAAAATAGTAACTTAAGTGCAAACAATTTATAAGTTATATCCAAATAAATACATATACAACCGAATAGAAAAATAACATAATTTTTATATACAATGACATGTAATAACGATGATAACCAGAGTGAAAAAAAACAAAAAGAAAAAAGGCAAAACTACATTTCTTTCTTTATCTCCTCAAGGGCAAGGTCATATAAAAAAAACACTTGGATTTTCATTTCAACGACTTTCTAAAAAAAATTCCCCTAAATACGTATCTTATCACGCAACAATCACTTAATCGTCATTCCACTGATAAACTTCCGATCATACATGCTTAACGATTAACAGAAGAAAAAAGATCTTTTCGTCTACCGGTAAGAACACCCATGCCTTGTTTACCTTCGTACCTTCTTAAAATACCATTATACGAAACAATCACGCATTTCTTTGGTATATTAGTAATCATCATACATTTAGGTCTTATCTGAGTGGCTTTACAACGTGATTAATGGCTTAATTACCTTCGAAATGTGAGAAATTCGAGTCCAAATGTTCGCTTGCATCTTCTCGATCAGCTGGCGGCTCTAACTCCTCAGAGGAACAGTCGAAGTCTTTAGAGATCTTGTATAAAGTGTATTTTTATAACTTAGTTATTAATTTATATACATCAGTAGGTATTAGTTTTACTTTTTATATCTTCTAATATTTTTTTCGTACATTCAGATGAGTTAGAATATCAGATATACGGTTTGATATAATATTATTGGAACGGCAGACGATAGCAATTGCCAAGGCGTATTTGGTTATAAGAAATTATAGGCTTTATCTTCCTTTCTTTTTGATGCATGGACAGCTGACATATAATTTCAAAATGAACAATTGATAATTAATCGTCTGATTTAAGCATAATATTTTTTTTAACATAGCGCTTTTAAAGTGTCGATAGCAAAAAATATTCACAAACAGAACATTACGAAATACATATCGGATTTTTTTTTTTATGTAAACATCAAGGAAAAACTAGGATTTTTTTTTTTTTTTGGTATATAAGCTTTGGGCATATTTTTTCACTCAAATTCAAAGAAGAACGAGGTTACAATTATTGCAATTGTGTACGGGAAATATATACGCACTTGCGAGCAAGATCTATTTTATGTAGACCTTGCCTTAGAGTCCGCTATATGTATGCAT